GGGGGGGGAAGAAGGCGGACCGTGAATTAGGTTTGGAGAGATCACGTAAAAATTTATTAGAAAGTATAAAACAAACGAGCAGGCAAAATCTTACCGAAGACAAAGTTATCAGGTCGAAAGATTTGACCGAACGGACTGGCTCGGACGGAATCCATAGTGCCAGGCTCCAGATCGGCCATAATAGCACGAGGAACATACTTTCCAGCTGCAGAAAAACAAAGATAAGTAACAAAGCAATATCAATTAAACCTGACCTGATATAGAGCATGTGCACGTGGCGTCATAGTCGCCATCTTGGTTGACGATAAAAAAGCATTTCTCATTAGCTTGATCTCTTTGAGATCAACCAACATGGCGGCTTTTTCATTGTTATTCATATCTCCAGGGATTATGAAACACATGGTTTCACACACTTGTATTGCGTCTCAAAAACTATATTCGATTCGAAGATCATAATATTGATGTCACGTGACTGACTCGACTAACCGGCAGGTGTGAATAATTGCCCGCCTCTAAACACAGTCAACATATATCAATATTTAATCATTCGAAAAACGATCTTTGAAACGAAATTAAAAATAAATTCAAATTCAAATTTTCTTAAATTTCCTGGTATTTTGAAAAGCCCACTTTTTGACTTGATCATGATCGGTACAATATACATATACAACTATTTCAAAAAGCGTTGTCATCGCCAAAGGTTATAGGCGATAAGTCATTCCGAGACGGAAATGGTTTCGTAGTCGACTACCGAACAGCAATGAATCAGTCTCAACACTAAGGTCCAAGTTCTTGACGAGAATAAGGAGCAGAACCACAAGTCATTCTAGCTATTCTTGGATCTTAGAGTGACATACATCCTATCGCTTTTCGTCTGTCGCCTATTGCCTATCGCCTTTAGCGATGACCACGTTTTTGAAAGTAGGTGTATAAGTCATAGTTAATAAGAGAATAGCACAAATAAATTTGTGATGAAACTTACATAAAGCTTCATTGTAGTATACATTGATTCTCTCGAGTTGTAGGTCGGAATCACCATGATATATGCCTGTCGGGTCGATGCCATGCTCGTCAGATATCACTTCCCAAAACTGAAAGAATCAAAAATCAAAATATATTATTAAATCGTTGGAGTAAAATTAAAAATCTCTTAGAACACACCACCTACATATACTTTACCTACATATACTTTATTTACCAACCAACCCACCCACAAATACAATTTTAACCCATGCAAAGTCATGCTCACCACTATCACTATTTATGAGAATTTTTTGTCCTTTGCAGTCAAGACCAAGGTTACTGTAATTTAAGCGCGTACTTTGTAGTTTTAAAAATGTCAACGAAAAATGAGATTTCCTTAAATACAAAGGAAGATATTTCCATTTTTAGCCTTGAAAATCCCTCTATTTATCAAGAATCAAAGGCTGAAAACTGAAAGAATTGCTCATCAATATCAGATGCAGGAAATTCGAGATACGATATTTAATTCTTTCAGTTCAAATTTAAAAACCATGCACTCAGAGGCTCCTTTTTGTCTCCTTTGTTTTCGGGGAGAGGTCGGGGGAAAAAAGCGAATGCCGATCCAGCAAAAGAAAAGTAGTCTCGGTCAGAAGGGAAATACACTCTACTTTTAATGAAAAAGAAAAATCGATTTTCAAGAATCGAGATTGCTCAGGCGATAGCACGATAGCACAGAAAATAACTGTTTGCTCGGAGTCCAGTAGATTATGTTGACTTGGTCTAAGAAGGCAGTCATTCAATTCAGTGAAGTGTTCGTGATCATTACATTTAGGTTTGGAAATATCCAAAATATTTTGTAATCAAATTAGAATTAAAACCTAAAATATTGAGCTATCAAATGGAGTATTTTAGTCTTACCTTGGCTCCGATTTGGTTTCCGCATTGTCCAACCTGAAGATGTACAATTTCCCTCATCGTGAAAACTGAATTTGGTCAAAATATCGTCTTACAGCGGCTACTAAAGATGGAGCTTGTGGGAATGATTTTTGGCGGCTTGTGTTGGGTGTGTCGATGCAAATTTCCACGTTTCTATCGGATTCGTTCAACTTATATATGTGCTAAAGTATATCAATTCAATTATTTTGAGTCGGCTACTGAAATGGTTTATTATGGCGATCGATAACTTGATAGATTATTATTTAAATGTTGGATGGAACAACCAAAGGTGTTTTTACTTCGCTCAATATTCTATTATACCAGCTGTGTTGATGCATACCATTGAAGCCATTTAAGGTCCACAAGCCATATTTCTAAAACGCTGCAGCAATTTCTTTTCGTCTATCTAATTATTAATGAAGACAGACACGTGCCAAATTTATTAACTAAATTAATTCATCTGCTAAAATAATGCGAATGAAAAATCACCAAAAAAAACAAAAACATATCCAATTATATTTGTGAATCGTTTTTGCATGCATATTCTTGATATTTGAAGGATTCCAATTCATTCTAAGTAATTATCATGTAGTTTGAGAGAGGAATTAATTTATTAATACAATTCGTTTTATCGGAAAGATCTCTTGTTTTGAAAAATCAAACAGCAATACATTTTGTGGGCTTGAATCAGTGGTCGTTCAATACAATTTTATTATCCCAAGTACAGCTCGAAAATTAATTTCCAAGCTATTAGTTTTCACAGCTGCCATGTTGGATGAATTTAACAAAATATTCGCCATTAGTCTCTTTCGTTATATCGTCCAACATGGCCGCCGTGTCTTTTGTTATTTCATTCTCTTGGGAATGATTGAAAACCAGCAATAGGGCTCTGTAAAATCATTTTAATTTACTGCACTAGAATAGACTGATTCACTATTAGTTGCTTCAGAAAAGTATTCACATCAAAGGCAAAAAGAACATTATAAATATTTCAAACAATGCTTTCTTTCTTCAGGAAATGAGGATAGACTTGGTGAAGTCTTGTGAAGCGTCTTTTAAAAGAGATGATTTGTTTTTTAACATTTAAAATATTTTTTGCGTCCAATTCGTAGACAGTCTATCTTTCTAAAACGAGAAAAAAAGTACAATGATGAGCTAAAACTGATCATGAGCGAAGAAAAAACAATAGAGCTATTTAAAATTTTAGTTTTAGATTATCTTCATTTGGATTCTGTAGTCGATACTAATCGACTTCATGAAGGGTTCAGTGTGATTAACAGACGTCAAACATAGACCATTTCTGAGATAGCCCGGTGTATTGTGGTCTGAAGCTTCGGTACAAACATCTTTTTTACATCATGCCTCAAATGGTATTGTTGACACCCAAGCTAGACCACAATGCATCATGCTTGTCGCATTCAGAAAAGGCTTATGGCACGCCTAAGAGCTGGGTTCACGACACGGAAAAAAGATTAACAAAACTAAAAAAAACTTGCGGCATATTTTTCTTGTGGTTACTGACCAGGATGAACGAGGGCACTGGTCATGAAATGAAACTGAACAACTAAATAAACAAAGTAACTCACCCATGATCGTCTTTTTCACACTTCCCATAATGCTCAACTTTGATTTTGCCTTGTTTGGCTTTACAGTTGAACATCAACACTGCACACCTGTTCTTGTAAGTCTTTCCATCAGTACCGCAGACCGGTTCATTAACAGGCTCACACGAGGCAGGGCACCTGGCAAAACCTTTGTGTACTGAACAGAAACAAAAAAAAAATGAGACTTCCAAGAGACCGTTGAAGCTATGTGACATTTCCGCCATTGTTTTTCAAAATAGTTTTTTTTTAATATACCGAGCACCATCTTTCTGTAGAGCAAGCGTTCGTTACGTACAAAGTGTCAAAGTTTATCTTTCTCTCTCCTCATTGGCCAAGAGTTTGCCACGTGATGGTTAATCAATTTCACTGCTTTCGAATCCTGGCAACTGTTAATAGATATGAAAAACCGGTGCTCTCCCCCTGACCCTATTCCGGGACCGTAATAACGGCGACCAGATTATAGACATATTTGGAAGCTGTCACGTTTATCTCTTCTTCACCAAAACTAAGGTGAGCAGTAGTGTCGAGTCAGCACCAGTGTTTGGAACCGAAACAAAGCCAGAAAGAAAACCGCCTAAACTCGCACATCGTCCTATAATCTGGTGGAATGCAGCTATCCCCGTGTGGCCGAAACTACATCTCGGGAGCACCAGCATTGCGAAACATTTTAGAAGGATACGATATTATAAAAATGTATGAGAACATCGCGTAACAGTGCAGATCCTAACCATCCTGGTGTCTACATTGATGGAGAAAATTATTGGCCTGTCAAGATAAGGCTGCGATCTACAGGTAGCATGAGGTGGATAAAACTACACATAGTTAATGGAGTGGAATGGTTTGGAAACTCCATAGAACAAAGCTATTGTTTTGCGTTTGATGTTGAATCGTACCATCACGTGATACTGGCCCTGCACAACGAACCAAAGAAAGTATGGCTGAAAATACTCATATTTTGAAAGTGAAAACTTTCATTCGATGACCAAAAACCATGCGAATAAATATTTCCGCGCAGATACAGTTAAGTTTTGCCGAGAAGAATAGGGCTACTGAAGCCCTAACCATAGTTGTGGACCAGTAAAAGCAATGTAATATCGATAGCCTAGAGTTATCCATAAAAACAAGCAAGACAGCAAACAACAAGCGAAAGAATGTTAAAGTACTCGAAGTCCGTCCCGTAGTGTATAGAGGAAAGAAATGAAAATTGTTATTAGTAGAAGACGGTGCTATGAAGTTAAGCGATCTAGGTTGGAAGACACTGTAGAAGCTGGACAACTTGCTTAAAAACATACGTTCGTGTAAATCATTTAATTAGTTGTCAATATGTACACTGTATAATACTTTTCTACTTATAAAATAAATATACCATACAAAGAACTATTATAATCGAGTCGTATCTCTTTGTTCGCCCGTCAACTGGCAAGCGGTCCAGTCATTTTGGCTTCTTAATAGATTTCTCGCTCCACTGCATCCTGTCTCGGTCTCATGTTTTACCTTACCCTGAGAGCAGTGGATTTTTTTAAAACCCTCTCCCATCTCCCAGTGGTCGGGGCGAGGAAAAAACTCTCTGCACTAATCCTGTCGAATTTTGTTTGAGAATGCGCTAGGGATTATCCAGAGCTCTGGATAATCCGATTTTCAAAACCTGTTTCGTAACCGGTTTTGGTGCGCGCGCATGTTTTGGGCTAGAATCTAATGGCCAAACTTGAGTCCGCATTATCTTCAATGGCGTCCGATCTTAATATTTGTATTTTTCGTGTGTTGAAAGTTTTCTTCCTGAAAATCTCTCTCTAACAACCCAACAGTATCAATCTGTGGAGAGTTTTATTACTGGTAGGGAGATGGGAGAGGGATTCAAAAAAATCCTCTGCTCGCAGGGTAGTTTTAACTCAAAAATCAGTACGATTTCGCATTCGCCTAGCCCCCTTTTCCCTTCTTTTGATATTTAGTAGGTGATTCGTGTGATTGACTCGACAATTATGCAGAACACAGTGCTTTATTGTTTCAAATGACGGGTGTTTCTATCGAACAAATATATACTGACAATCAAAACATCATACTTGGTTAAATAATGAAAATAGCTGTAACTAAACTTATCTTGTATTCACATGCATTGAGCGTYTTATGAATAAAAGTTGTTCCTTGGGCGAGTCATCTAATTGCTTGTATTTCGATGAGTCAACTTCGTAGAACTCAATTAGGGTGAAACAAAAGCATAAAGTAAAAAGAGTCTAATCCTTTAACAATAGGCTTTGAGACAGAAAAACTATATTTTATGAATAATTAGAAGCTTTTATTAGGATTAAGCTTTGACGTAAAATATAGGTAATGTACTCTTGAACCTCAAAATCACTCGAACCTGGTGCAATCCAGCAAACAAAAATAGATATGGCTGACCACCCCTCCCCCTACGGAACCTCACCTATAGAATACGTCGCCGTTATTACGGGCCCGGAACAAAAGCAAGAGTGATTTTTAATTTCAATCTCAGTTTTATTTGGGTGCTTATTAAATATTGTTTACTTTCATCTTTTACTATTATTGCCCGGTTATTCCTTGGGCTTCGCATGTAATTTCTAACAAGCTGCATTTATTCCGGCATTATACCCTTGAGCAAACGAAAGAAAATTCCTAATTATAAGAGACATCTTCTGGTCTATCAGGTTTATCTAACTCAGGGTGTCTACGAGATGAAATAAGGGTACGGCAAACCGTTTGTTTAACATCTCCAAAATAAAAATAAAATCTTCGAATCTCAAAGAAATACTTCTTTAACTTAGTATTTATCATCTTGAATGCAACAGAAGAATAGAAAGAAACCATCGTTAGGGGGGRAAAACCGTCCTTTTTTCTCGAGGGTAGCACTTAATAGCCAGTCGCTAACAAACCTGTGGCCCTCATTCCGTGATCGAATTGGAAATTTAGGAGTTGATTTAGGGAGGAAAACCGGAGAACCCGGAAGACCCTCGAAACACAGGAGAGAACCAACAAACAACTCTATTCATATACAACACCGAACCCAGCGGGACTCGAGCTCGGGTCGCATTGATGAGAGGCGAGCGCTCACACCGATACGCCAACCCGCGCCTCCCGAAAGAGAAGCGAGAGGAACAGCCTGATAAATAGGAGGAAAAAACTTACCCAAAATAAGGATAAGAAGAAATCCAAAAGACATGCTGGCGATGGATGTAGTCATTGTTCAATACTGAGTTTCAGCAACCCACTTGCGTGTTTCTTGTGTTGGCTTCTTGTAGTCCGAACCACGGTAAAAAGGGTTGCGATAATTAAGGATGTGTGACGACCGAGGGAACCGTTGTGGCAAGAAAAAATCATTCATGGCATTCACTTACGTCATCATGAATTTCAAAAGCGTAACTTCGCATTATAATGAAATAAAAGTTTCATAATCTTGTAAAGCGGTCAAAACTACATATGCTGGTCAAATTTTAAGGCTGTAAAGAATTCGTTGCGGAATTATAGGCGAGTAATATGGGTTCAAAGCACCTTTTTTATTATATTGGGTACCATATATCCGTGATAAACTTTGTCAGAAATCGCACAAATTTGTACAAATTAGTAAGTTCAGTAGATCTCAGTAGTCTGTAGACCTACRAAACTTTGCACTAAGGCTGGCCAGGCAATGATCACTGGCTCAACAACGCTACAATATAGAATACACTGCGCTTTAGTAGAGTACAAACAGTATAAGTGTGTAACATAAATATCACTAAATACTGCTAAACTATGCTAATTCTATTGTGTTCTATTGTTTAATTAGCACTATTTACTACTAAATAGTGCAAAGTGTTGCACACTTTTAGTGTTTGTACTCTAGTACTGCTTACTAAGTTTGGATCACTGTGTAAAGCGTTTGATAATTCTACAGATCCCCGAAGAACAGGTTACTAAACCCGCCTCAGGATTAGGATTCGAACCAGCTGTTGGAATACATCGCTTAATCAAAGTATTAGTGTTGAATTGTGCTAAGCTGGGGTTTTTCTCATGGTACTATAGGGAAAAGAGCAGCAGGAATTAAGAAATAGAAAAGTGTTAATACAAAATAATGATTAAACTCGCAACGTTGACTAATCCTGTATGATTATCATTGTTTATTGAAAAGGAAAATGCCCTTTTTTAATGCTTTCTTATTTATCATCTAGTAACCTACAGCCATTCTCAGTCACACGTGCCCCTCTAGCGATTGTTTCTGTCGCGACGAAGAAGGTTTTGGTGGACGTCAATCACTTGGCGTTTCCAGAACATTGTCGGAAAACACAAAGCTATAAGGGCACGTGCCTACAGAGTGTCATGGAAACGCCTTGATTGACGTCCAACAAAAGCTTCTTCGACAGAAACAATCGCTAGAGCGACGCGTGTGACTGAGAATGTCTGTAACTGCATCTGCGCGGAAATGTTTATCCGCATGGTTTTTGGTCATCGAATGAAAGTTTTCATTTTCAAAATTTTCATACAAGAAAATAATAAGAAAATGAGTATTTTCAGCCATACTTGTTTTGGTTCATTGTAATGATACTGTTCAACTTCAAACGCAAAACAATAGCTCCGTTCTAATTCTATGTTTCTCGGATTAAATGCCTTCTTTGTACTTATGCATTTCTTAAAGATATCACCTTTTAGTAATCAAGAAAATAGATCGATTGGGCATATCAAAGTCACGCGAGAAAGATTTCGGACCGAGCGAGTAGCATACAAAGTATTTTCTTAGTGGCTAGTAAATATAAAACGAAAAGATAACGTCAAGTTTATAACTCTATAAAGATATATACATATACCCCTTTCGAGAAATTTTGTCACCCGTGAAGCGAAAAGCGTATAAACTAGTGGCGCGGGGAGTCATGGGATAGTTTATATTTGACCACGTGCACACCAACACATGGGTCAAAGCAATCATGCCGCGAGCATTAAGTGACGATTTACGGTTGAGAAGCGTACTGCTATATGGCTTAAACCACAGTAAAGGTGACATTGCAGTTCGCCTTGGCATGTCTTCAAGGTCCGTGTTACGCTTCGCCCGACGATATTACGAGAGACGAAATGTTTGTGCTGACAAACCAGGAAGACCTGCTGGTTCGTATTCGCTTTCGCAACAAGAACAAGCCGTTTTGATGCAAGAATTGTTAGAACACCCAGAAAAAACTCTATCAGAGCCCTGTAGACACGTTGAAGGAGTACGTGGTGCTAGGCTTTCTGTTTCTACTTTACACGACTATTTTAGAAGAAATGGCATCACACGCAAAATGGTAATATTAAGTGTTAAATGCATTCTTGTAAGCCGATGAGAAATCTGTAATCATGAATGTTGTATTCGAAAATTACTGCAAATTTTTCATTCAACACATTTCACTTTCGGTGTTTATAGCTCAAAAGAATTCCTTATCAAAGATGCGAAGAAGATCGAATAAACTATCGGTCTGTGGTATCACAATTCAATCCTGCGATGCTTGTGTTCCTTGACGAGTGTGGATTTGTAAGTTCTCTTTTCAGAAACTCATTTTGTTATACCTTTTCAACTGATCTCCGCACTGGGTTTGTCACACTGACAGAGATTATAACAAATGTTTCTGCATTACAGGATAAACGAATTTCGAGACGCTTTGGATACAGTTTTCGAGGCTATCGAGCTCAAACACAAAGATGGTATGGCAATTGGGGTCCCAGGATTACTGCTATCCCTGTCATCTGCACGCAATTTCAAGAGGACTTCACACCTTTGTTTCATTTGATTCAATGGCAGAATCCACTTGTGTTCTGGCCGACTGAAGTGAGGTAGAACTACTAGCTGAAGTCGTGGTCACAATGGGAGTCATATTAGATGTAGAAGGAACTGCACCTGTAGTCTCTAGGGCAAAAAAAGCAGCATTCGGAGGTACGGTGTCGTCGCGGTGACTCCCATTTACCTATAAAAACCATTATCACAATCGTCAATGTTTTGCTTAGGTTCGAAAAGCAGTAATAACCCAAACCATTGTTGATCCCGTGTAGAGGATTATATCTCCGGTTTTCGCAGCGACTTTTATTGCAGTTTTAATAAGGAAGAAACCCCCAAATTTCCAAAATTACCAGAGTCGTTTACATGCGCGATTGAAAGATCGCTGCAAAATACCACACATTTTATTGTGTAGTGGATAAGAAAACCTAACTTTTTATCTTACATTATGAAAACTGCTCTACAATTTATCTATCCAGTCTAACTTACCAACATTCTAGCCCAACACTTCAGTTTCAAATCGCCAAGAACTGAGGCATGTGTTTTACGTAGCCTCGACAAATAGTTATTGAAAAGGCCCTTGTCTTCTTCGACGGAATCATTTCCTACAAATTTAAAGACAAACATTAAATTCAGAATACACCGACTGATACTGAATACTGTAAACATAGCAATGGAACATTTTATTAAAACCCGTAACATAGGTCAGATCATAACGAACTTGTTAGAAAAGAAGTGGCATTTTATAATTTATTCGTTTTTATCGGGTTCCCTTCAAATATTCACGTGCGCCATGCACAAACGATTCTAAAATTTAAAACCTTACTAACAAAATTATCACAGTCCAATTTTAAGCTTCACAAAAGAAAAAATACAGACAGACAGCTAGCATAAAGGTATTTCTCCATTTTGAATTGTATCACGTTTTAGTGCTCAGTAACTTACTCTTCTTCTTGTCACTTTTTTTGACGCCTTGAAATCAAGACACATGACTTCGTCCTGGTCCACAGTCCCTCAAACTTGTCCCACAAAAATGTGACATAGTTTAGGCTTTCAGTTAAATAGGCCTCTCTTAGGTGTTCCTCTGTACAAATGGTCAGTTTTCTTTCTCTCGTGCCATAATAACCAAGGTCAAAACTGCTGATGTCCTTTGCTGGGCTTATTTCTTCAGCGTGTTTTTTCACTAAATAGCTTTTAAACTCTTGGACGTTTTTGAATATTGGTACTTCTTTCAAAGAGAACATGGAACATTGATTTTTGTTCTCGTGTTCATACACTTTAAGCATTACGTTAATGCGTACTGCGTCGGCCATAATGGCTCTTTTAAAAATCCCGCGTCAAACAAACTCCCGCGTCAAGCAAGTTTCCCGTGCCAAGAAAGCTTCTGCGTCATGCATGGTTTATTTGAACGCATTTCCCATGAACCTCCGCGCCACTAGTTCATACGCTTTACGCTTCACGGGTGACAAAGTTTGTCGGAAGGGGTGTATACACATATCTACAATCATCAATTAATGTTATACATCTGAGCATAAGAATAATAGCAAACTCTATTCAAATCTATCTCTCTTGGGGTACGTTTTTTCATCGTTTCTGCAATCTAAAGAAGCTTTAAACCTCGAGGTTTTTGGCTTCCGTCAATCAAAACATTACTAGCTCAGGCCTTCGTGAAATCTTTGGATCCGAATCGGACAATAGAYCCTCCTCGGCTCGGGCGYAATGTTTTCCCATTTCAGACCACGTGTCATTTCCTAGAGTATCATTTATTTGTTTAATGCTCGGTTGCACATGAGAAGGCACATGAATATTGATACAACTCAAACAAAGAATCTTATACTCAAGGGAATGAAACGTGGCTGAAATGGAAAACATTACGCCCGAGCCGAAGAGGTCAATATAGGTTTTGCACCATCACGTGCCGGCGCCCATAATATAGCTTGGACTGCCTGTGGTTAGATGGCATAACAATAAAATCCCTTTGCTCTCAGGAATTGTATTCTTTCTATGTAAAACGATTTAATTGTCCCTTCCATCTAACATGGCTTCCGTCACGTGATGGTGCAAAACATCTATAGCGAACATGACTGATGTACTTGAAGTTGCCTGTCTTGTATCTCGTCTCTCCGCAACGAAATTTCTTTTAATGCAGGATTTCTGTGCATATGGCGGGAAACACGAAACGCGTACGCCTGTATACGTATTGGCGRGGAAATGGTACATTGCCAATTGCTTACTATCAATCACGTGACTTTTTGTAATTTTTTAACGTGGTACCGCATTAAAAATAACTTATACAAAATATACAATACTTAACCCTATTTAAACCTAACTATTTTCCAATATTTAATTTTTTCATTATTTCAGTTCCAGTTTCATTTCACTTGGAATGTAAGCCTTGTTGTGACGTCGGCATTTGCGACGTTTGTTACGTAATGATTCTATGAACCACGAGTGGAATTAGCCATTTCAGGGTCGAGAGAAAAAACTGGGTCGAGTTGGCATTGCAGTGCATTTTGGGACTGTTTTATGGAACGAAATAGAGCCACCATCTTGAAAATATGCCCCACAATGCACTGCAATTGTTTTTCCTCGACCTCGAAATGTTTACATGCTTTTTTTCATCAAGCAGTTTCTCCGAATGAATATTATTGACGTGTGCGAGTGAAAATATCAAAATAAAGACAAAGCTAGTGCTCAGACTGTGCGAATTCTTTTCAAGCGGAAAAATGTGTTTTTTCTTATAGTAGTAGGGATCGGCCGGTTCGGGGACATTTTGGATAGATTACATTTTTCTTGTCTGTCTGTCCGTTTGTCTGTCTGTCCAAATTATAGAAGTTCTTAAATAATTTGGACAGAATGACAAACGGACAGACAGACAAGAAAAATGTGATCTATCCAAAATGTCCCAGAACCCGCCGACCCCTACTGCTCTTATTTTTCCGACTGATGTTTCATTTGAACTGTGGTCATAATCTAGTGAGTGAGAAGTTGCAACTGGCAGCCACAGTCAAAAAGTAAGGTCCTTCTTGCTTAGGTAAGAATGTAGAAGGGATCAACTGATATGAGCCTGCAGGCACACCTGACAACTGCATTACGAAGAATCCAGGCCTACAAACCAAAGTTTACAGGATTTTAGCTCCTCAAGACACGACTATTTGCGAGTTACGGAGTGTGTGCCGGATAAAGTAAGCTGTGATTTGTCACCTCTTATTGTACGGGGTGTGTTTCACGCCTAGATAGACAGGGTGGCTTGTATGTCACCACATGTTGTATGGGGTGCAATACGGGTGTGCACTCCATACCCAGATTGATCTGTACCCAGATTGAATTGTACCCAGATTGTATGGGGTGCAATACGGGTGTGCACTCCATACCCAGATTGAATTGTACCCAGATTGATCTGGGTGTAGTTTATCTGTCACCCCATTTTGTATGGGTGTGTGCTCTAATCTCGGATTGACCTGGGTGTAGCTTATCTGTCACCCAGTACTGAATAGGATACAATATTGGGTGTGTGCTCCAAGCCCAGATAGACCAGGGTGTAGTTCATGTCACCCCATGTATTATGGGGCGCAATATAGGTTGTGCTCTGTACCCAAATTAACCTGGGTGTGGTCTATATTTCACCCCATATCGTATGGGGTGCAATCTGGGGTTTGTTCTCCATACCCATATCCAAATTGGCCTGGGTGTAGATAATCTTTAACTCCATATTGTATTGGGTGCAATATGGGGTAGTTTATCTTTCGTTCCATGTTTTATGGGTTGCAATATAAAGTGTGTACTTTATACCCAAATTAAACTAGGTGCAGTCTATCTTTAACTCCATATTGGATTTGAAGCAATATGGGGTGGTTTATTTTTCATCCCATATTGTATGGGGTGCAATATGAAGTATGTACTCTGACCCAGATTGACCAGGGTGTGTTCGTTTTGCAAGGAATACACCCTTTTTGTCTACATGATTTATCTTCAAACAAATCATTCACTAACTCCTTCTGAGTTGATACTTCATTTAACTAATACCTGTAGCTCTCAAAGGGTGCTTCATATGTGGGTTTTCCTGAAGGTGTTCTATCCACAGATCGTAACATGACCCCAATAGAAAATTGCCTACAAAAACATTGAATAAATGGAGAAATGAAGATTTCACAAGTCCAATAGTTATAGTGTGACGCGCCAAAACGTAGCTACCCAACTTATTTTTTTATCGATGCCATTGAATCCTTTCTCGCCAACTGTTTGAATCAATTAAAAGACTTTTTACCAGCAAAGGGACCAAAATAGGTATTACCTAGGCAAATTCCTAGCCAATTATTTGAGTTTTCATTGCAAAGAGTATGAAATAATTTGAAAAATGTGGGCCACGCTGAATAATTTCACGCGTAATTGCACATATTCTCGCTGTCTGATTGGCTAACTAGTAAAAAAAAAGTTGGGTGGCCGAGGTCAGGCTCATCGTACTCTAAAATGAAAAATAAATGGCCTATTTTGGACTTACTTTGGAGCAAGCATTTTGATAAAGACTTCAGCAGGATTTGAGGTGACAGGCGATTTGAGTTCCAGACTGTACACAGGGTTGCTACTGAAGGTGGGATAGTTTGGACAACCACCTGCTGTCTTGGCCGTCCAACTGTCCTTGACCTTCAACACAATGGAACAGATATCATAAATGATCCATCTCTTTGTAGGGCAAGGGAGCACAGCAGACATAAATTTGTTGACTGGTCTTCCTGTGGTAATAACGTATGCTGAGAATATCGTTATCCGCGAAATATAGCGTGGGCTCAAGGAAATATCAAAGATGGTGGCATACATAATATCATCCGCCATATTTGTTTGCTTATGAGCCCGCGCGACTTTTAAGAAACCGCATGCGCGTCCATACCACAGGTTTACTAATCGATTAAATCATGTACCACAGGAAGACCAATCAACAAATTGCCGTGCTCCCTTGTGTGGGGTAGATTTTCTTAAAAGAAAATATTCTTATCCTATGCTCATGAACAAGGACTAGGGGATTTGGTTGTTTTCCTGTAACCCCTTTCTTTCCCAAAATGCCTCGTCAAAGTGAGACAAAAGTGCACTAAAGCTATACCACCCTTGATTTACTAAGCGATGACGATTAGAGGGAACTCGAAACAGAACACCCAACCAAGTAACTCATATGTCTTTGGAATAATACGCATACTGAGCCCAACATACAAGTCTTTAAAAAGCTATACCACCCTTGATTTACTAAGCTATGACGATTAGAGGGAACTCGAAACAGAACACCCAACCAAGTAACTCATATGTCTTTGGAATAATACGCATACTGAGCCCAACATACAAGTCTTAAAAAAGCTATACCACCCTTGATTTACTAAGCTATGACGATTAGAGGGAACTCGAAACAGAACACCCAACCAAGCAACTCATATGTCTTTGGGATAATACGCTTAYTGAGCCCAACATACAAGTCTTTTATATCAATTAAAGGCAATCACGTATTTTTGGATCTACCCAGCCTAGACACTAGAGAAAAACGTTTGCGCATGCGTGCATTTCAGCACGTTTTCTAAGAATTTAGAAGAGTTTGAGTGAGAAAATAAATGTTTCTTTTCTCCAAGTATACAAAAAAGTTTGAGAGTATACTTTTGTCAGACCAAGATACTGTATTGACAAAAACAAGATGAAAGAATTTCCCTTAAGTTTCAAGCATGGACACTAAGTTTTAGCATTTTGTGAAGCCCAATTTATCAGGCATGCTTGAAAGTCAGATTTGCATATCTTTTGACGAGAGTTTTTTCAGGTTATTATTTCCTTAACTTTCTACTGTTTTAAACACTCCGAGATGAAGCATTTAGTTCGAATTGATGGTTTTCATGGCGGCCATGTTGGAGCAACTTAACAAAAGAATTGTCAATGGATTCTTTTGTTATATCCTCCAACATGGCCGCCGTGTCTTTTGTTATTTAATTCTCTTGGGAATGGTTGAAAACCATCAATACGAGTGATCAAAAAAACTCTAGGGATCGATCGATGATTTACAGTACGCATTTTGAAAAAAGCGACAAAAACCTCGAAACGTTCACGATTCGAGTGTCCTCCCTCTAATAATCCATTCATATGAATACTTTTATATTATATAAAAAGATAACAGCTTAAAAAATAAATCAAGTTACCGTTTTCTCGTGCTTGTAGGGATCAACCACGGGCGAAAGACGAAATTCAGAAGATGAAAATACCTACAAATATGATCAAAACCATAAATATTACATCTTGGATTGATATGCAGCATAATGAACAGAATTGCCGAATACGACGCGTTCTCTATCATGTTCTGAGAAAAAAAGGTATGGACTACTTTYGTTAGCAGCAAAAATACACAGAATTTGCCGCATTGCCGTAAATGCCAAAAATGTCGTGATTTTTTACTAATAACTTTGGTGCGAAGCTGCGATGAAAAGCCTTCAGTCCTGCTGCATATGACGAGAGGAGCACTCCTACAATATTTTTTCTTGATACAAAGACAATGAGTACCCATAGGATAACATTTGTGAGACAGATTAAGCATCACGTTTTTCCTTCCCACAAACGGCCGACCTGATCTCGTTTTCATCGTTTCCTGCATTATTTTCAAAGCTTCTCACCAAGTACAAGACAAACACTCTTTTCATTCTTTCCATGTTTCACGTTTGTCGTAAACGACATGCTTAAACTCTCTATTACGATACCCGCCTACCTTCAGCGTGTAGTATATTGTGTTAGTTTTTTCGTATTGTGAGACGATCAGCGTGAAGCGTTGCTTCCCAGCAGGAACGTTCAACTTTGACAAATAAAATGGGCTGTTGATTTTTGTTCCTTCTTGGTATGGATTATCTTATAAAAAGTAAAAAATAACGAATTAATGATGTTCCGTGTTCCCCAAGGGTCGGTTATTGGTCCCCTTTAAATAACAATGCTGTCGATTTTCGTTCTTTCTTGATCAGCAGTATCAGGAAGAAAAGAAATAATTAATTATTCCTGACTTGTGGAGTTCCTCAGATAGGTTTTTGGTCCCCTCTTAATAACCACACAATACAACTGCTTTTTCCGTGCTCCGTTCAGTAATAAAGCACGCAGGAAGTGACGTAAGCACGAAAGAAGTGTAAGGAGAAGCACGAGCCAAACATCTTCTCACACGCCTTGAGTGCTTACGGCGCTTCCTAAGTGCTTTATTACTGAACGGCGCAAAAAGAAAGATGGCCGCAGGATCTAGCAGCCGACTTTGCGCGCGCGGATGGCGTCAGTACTCTGCTTCGTTCACTAATAAAGCACAGCTTTCGACCAATCAGCGCGCACGCACTATCCTAACTATATAATAGAATACAATAAAATACAATACAATAGTAGTCTTGGTACGCTTTATCTTCCAAAATAAAGAATAACGAGTCCCGATATGTGGAGTTCCTCAGGAAAGGTTATTGGTCCTCTACCTGGATAGTAAACTCTTTTTCCATCTGTTTTGTAGACATGTACAGTTATAAACTCCTTGTTCTCAGCAAAGTCTTCCTATTTAGACACAATGATGAAATAAATAAATACAGCGGTTACAATGATGATATGATAGAATAAAGAAGACATTAAATTTATAATATAGATGTACGTGGTTACCTTTTTGGTAATGTGTCTGGTCAGTAGAATCCATACTACTGCAGACTGCGCCCCAGAGTTTACTTCCAGCCTGTACTGAGGATTGTCACCTGAAAAATACACCCCCAGGGAGAAATATTTTATGAAAAATGAAGACAATGAAAAATAGAAAACGTGTTCATACTAGCTAATGCTGGGTTTTAATCAGCTGAATGAATCTCGTAAATCCCATTAGCAGCCTTCAATGAGATGCAAACGCCGCCCGTCATCAACCAGAGAGTATTCTACTGGGCCCGGTTGTACGAAGACTGGATGGCGCTATCCAACGGATAAATCTTATCCAGTGGATAAATTTATTGGATAACAGCATCGACTCATCCACTGGATAAGGATTTATCCGCCGGATGGCGCTATCCAGGCTCCGTACAATCGGGCCCAGCTTGGTACTAATCAGCTGAATGATTCTCATAATCTTATTATCAGCCACTCGTCATCTTCTATTACCAGTCAGTATTCTATTGCTTGGTAATAATCAGCTAAATGATGTTTATAAATCTCATTACCAGCCCCTACTCCAGCCTTCAGTATGGAACAAACACTGTGCTCCACGAGCAATTATCCATATAAAAATGATGTGTATTGACATACGATCTTCTCGGTAATAGGATTTTTACAGTCAAAAGAAAAGCTCACCAATGTTATACGCATCTTTTACCGGGCCTTCCTTTGCTTCCCATTTACTAAACAAAACAAAAAAGGGGTCAAACGTTAGTAGGCTTATGCATTTTATCCCAAGACACCCATACAGCCAATCAGAGTACAGGAAATTATTATCTATTCGGCTTTAGCATTCTTGGGGTATATTCTTAAAGAAATAGAAAAAACGCGTGCGCGTGCTGTGTGCAGTCATAAAGCACGCGGGGGTAGGCAGAATACGAGAGAAGTGTTAGAAGAAGCACGAACGCTTCTTCCGTATTCTGCTAATACCCAAGTGCTTCATAACTCCACACATCAAAGCAAGCAAGTTCTTATTTCTTTCATAAAATACAAATTACAATAACCGTTATTTAGATAGAAATGACGCAACTGAAAGTGCGCGAGCATGCTGTGTACTCTCATAAATCACGCGTTCCCAACCAATCAGAACGCGAGATTTGTATTACATATTTCATAAAAGGATTTCTTACCTATGGAATGTAAATCGATGAGCAAAGAGCTTCGGGTTCCAGTTCATGTAAATGACTTCATAAAAATGAAGGAGAGTCTCCCATGCTATCCAAAACACGCCTGCAAAATCACCAACAACAATTTAATGTCGTCCCAAGACCTTCCAATTTTCAGCTCTTCATTTTACGTATTCTTTTTGACAAAAAAAGTCAATTCGATATTATTTCGTTTCGTGATAACAGAAAGCCTTAGTGCTAAGTCATTCTACCCAGGACTCATACTTATGGAGTTCTTGTGGATTCAGCGGGAACGTTTTCGCGCCAAAACATGAGCGGTCGCGTCGGGTTAGGACTATCAATACTGGGACAGCCTAACGGACTTATACTGATGGAGTCCCTGTGGATTCAGCGGAGACTTTTCCCCGCCAAAACACGCCCGCTAGCCCCACTATTGCTTACTATCAATCACGTGACTTTTTGGAGTTGACTGGGGGGCAAACAAGCGGTTGCCTAAAAAACAACTTAACAACTAGCGGATGCTAAGTCAAAACATATCAAAATAAGTCCTCAAACTATTGTATTTGACTATTTCTACGACATCAAACCAGAAAACAAGAGATCAAAACAACCTCCAGGATTCTACAAGCCATCAAAAAAGAGCTATTACCGGAAGTGACGTCTATTGATAGCAACCTATAGGACTTTGGCATAATGATTTTTATATTTCAGACGCCGTGTCATTTCCTTAAGAATAAAATTCTTTGTTTGTGTTGTATCCATATTCATGTGTGTCTTCTCATGTACAATCGTTAAACAAAGAAATGAAACTCTAGGAAATGACACGTGGCCTAAAATGGGAAAATATTAGACCTAAGTAGTTTTTTTAAAATTTAGAATCCTAAAGTGGGGCAAACGCGGCTGTTTGGGTGTTTTGAATTCAGTGGTTCACATTGGGTCAACAGACAAAACATTTATACTTTTTTTTTGGTGGGGGGGGGGGGGGGGCAGAGAGAAAGCAGTTGTATATTTGTCGCAAATCTAGTGTAAAATCAGACCATCATTTCATTACCATTGTCATGCTGCAACGCACTCTTCCTGTCGTAGTTCAGGGCACGTTGTAGTTCAGGCGTCCAGCTACTTTCGTCTCTTTCAGAGAATTTTCCCTACAGCAACACCAGGAGTGAGATTGAGATTTTATTGTAAAAACACGAAAAACGAAGGAATCTGTTGTCCTGTTATACCATACCTTCCATCTTAGATGACTCCAAGGATTTTTTAACAGCAGAAGTCGATGTCCCTAAAAAAGATAGATAGGTACTGAGTGACTTGTTCGAAAACAGACAATTGTCATTGGATTTTCGAAAACGACGTTTATTAGCTTTCAGAAAATGTATACTGTTCATGGCAAAATGTTGTAAAGTCTGTGTAATGTTTGAGGTTGCACGTATAGAGGTCCAAACCCCTTCTGATACCTTAATTAATCAAACGATCATCAAACGAGCACATTTTTACCCAGTAAATGTATGAGTAATGCCAGAGTAAATGTATAGAGAATTTATTTGTTGCTTCCTACACCAAAATAGTCTCCCATTCCATATGACATCTTAATTCATTATTGGTTCTTTCCTGTACTTCATGGGTTTCTCTACGGGTTCTCCGGTTTTCCTCCCTTCGCAAAAATCAATTTTTAAAAATCCTAATTGGAATTTCAGTGTATGAAAAGCCATTAATTTTAATTTATTTATTATAGATATACCGATAGTTTATGATTCTTTGACCACCATTAATTAATTATCGTTTGTATTCTTCATATTTGTCTCCTGTCTTTTTTGAGAGTTATTTGCCATAAATTTTAATCTAAGGCCTAGGGCAAACGTCGAACTTTCCATGCACCAAACTTAATTACATCAAAGAATGCCGCCTCATTATCACCTGATATCCATTGTTTTTAATGAGTCCGGTGCATGGAAAGTTCGACGTTTGCCCTAGGCCTAAGCTTGTAAATTGGTGTGCAAAATAAATAAAAGTCGTTTGTAACCTTCATATTTGTCTTTTCTTTCTCCTGTCTTTTTGAAAAGTGATTTTGTAAACTTGTTAATTCGTGTGCAAAATAAATAAAAGTCTAAACTCACCATCACTTTGCGCATGTCAAGGACAGCATAAGCATGCGTTGGTACCAGTCCAGCACGATCAGCTTCAATGTCACTCATGTTACCCGTGGCAACCGTGATCAAACAATCACCTAAATTACACCGGTAAACACTTTTAAAATTAATGTTTTTGAATCGAACGCGAAAACTCTGTCTGCATTTCCCCAGGACAAATTATTCATGCAATAAGTTTTTAAAATGTATGTTTTTAATAATGCTTCCTTTACATCTAATAGATGAATAAAGAAAAATCAGTGACAGTCACCGTGGAGGAAGCGAGGGGGAGGTGGAGGAAGGACGGGTTCCTCCACGTTTTTGGCCAAAAATGATTTCTGTTATGGTTTTTCAAAATCTTTGAGACGATATTGCAATAAGTATGTCCGCGACACTGGAAATCGCACTTACGAGAGCCTCGATTTATTTTTTAGGCGGGTGAGGGCAGACCCCCAGTTTAGTATTCAAACTTTGTTTACTTATATCTGAATGATAGACTATGACATCACACTTCACAATGATTGGTAAAACCCACCATGACGTAGACCCTTCATCAGCCTATCAAACTGAAGAGCTTCGTTGAACTCAGAGCTGTTTTTTTTAATGGACATGCGCTCTGGTATCCAGCCAGTAAGGGCATGGAGGTCGATGCTCTGAGGGGAAAACATTTAGAGCAAACTAAGTATAACATCACGCCTTGGGGATCCGCGCCGAATTACAGAATTTGATTGGATGCAGAGGAAATTTTTGCGCAATCTGATTTGTCAAGCGTATGCCTTGACGTGTCATGACCGTGTTTGGGACGTGAGTTTTTTACAGTCATACGAAAACTGCTGTATTATTTGCTTTGTCAGTGGCAAGCAATCAGTACAGGCACAACAAGAGTCTAGGAATTGATGGGTGTGGGAGGGTGCGCCTTTTTCATCACAAAAAGTTTATTCCCTTTGTGTAACAAATTAAGTCAAAATACATACCGAATTCGATCCTGGGAAGTCATAACCACCCATGACCTAGAAGAGTGAAAAATAGATAATTATTGAATGAAGTTAAAATTCAAATGTATTGAGGTCTCTTGTTCCTATTCATTTTTTCCATGTTTTCTCGTAATTATACACTTTGCTATGTGCCATCTGATTGGTTCAAAACCGTGCTATCTAAGACAACAGATCGTGATACCGATGCCATTTACCTACACTTCGCTATGTGCCATCTGATTGGTTCAAAACCGTGCTATCACAGACAACAGATCATGATACTGATGCTATTTACCTACACTTCACTTTGTGCCATCTGATTGGTTCAAAACCGTGCTATCTCACACAACAGATCATTATACTGATGCTATTTACCTTCATGTAGGCCTTCTCAATTAGGCTAACCCACATTTCATTTCTGTTGGTTGAATGTGCACACTGGAGAGTACCATCTTTCCCCATGGGCAAAGTATCATCTATTATAACCTAGATTTGAAAAAAAAAAGTGTCATGTTCAATTCCTGGACTAGTTTGTTGGGTTTTTTCCCTTGCTTCAAGGGGTTTTTTCCTCCCCCACAAAGTTAGTGTGAGTTAGCCATGACCTGATTTTGATCACCCAAGAGGTTGTTTCAGGGTTTGATCTGTGAGTTAACTGAGCCCTGACTTAGATCAATCCAGAGGTTGTTTTAGGGGTTTGTTCTTCAAGTTAGCCGTGCCCTGACATAGATCAATCCAGAGGTTGTTTTAGGGTTTGATAAAATTGATGTTCAGTTTGTTTTAGACTAAAGAACAGCAAAGATAATTTACCAAATATTTCATCATGAGTACTTACTTTACGTGCAGTCCCATTTAGCCAAAGTTTTATCATGTATTTCCCTGAAGGGTTGATCATTGGTAAGCCATCTCTATTCTGTGGATATATGATGCTGTAAAACACATAAAATGACATGAGCAAGGGCAGATACAGGGGTGGTGAGTGGGTTGGGGTGAGGTGTATATGACTCAACATTTTATGCATTTATGGGTTTCCTGTGATATTGGACTATGTGTACTTTGCCATATAACAAATAAAAAGATAACAGTTACTCCCCCTTTATAACTCATGGAAACAAGGAGCATAGAAAAATGTTATTAAAGTCTTAGTGTCACATGAAATACAATGGTTTCATTGTCGTTATTCTCTTCAACCCTGGCATCATTGGTTTGAATATTCTCAACTGAACTAAATGTATAAGCTGATTGATTGATGTTGTTCTCTCATATGTTACCAGGAGAGTTTTTTTTCCCTCTGGTTACTCCCTCTTTGAAAATAATAAGTTAAATAATAATAAACAATTAATAGTAATAAGGGCTATATATATAGAATATTGAATCTAGTGGCCATCTGTCCATCCATCCCTCCCTTACTCCCTCTGTCCATCCAATTCCTTCCTTCCTTCCTCCTTCCTCCTTCCTTCCTTCCTTCCTTCCTTCTTTCTTAAATATTTATTAACAGCAAGTTTAATTACACTTGTATGAAGCTGCTTGGTCTGGAAAAGCAAAGCCCAAGCATGGCTTAATACAACAAGGTGAGTTTGTGGGAAAAGCATAAGATAGTCTACCAAGTTCAGATCGTAATCTGGTATTACCTCGTAACAAGTCTCTTTTTGAAATCTCTCTCATACGCAGCACTGATGGCTAAAGATGATATGAAAGAACAGTCCGACACAACTGTCTGAAAACAAAGAAATCAGTGTTGAAACTTGTAAAAAATGACTAATAAACTGCTTTCCTTTCAGCTAGTGACAAACAATAAATATATGTTATTTACCGGTCAGGAGGTCCAGATATGGAAAAACTGTGCCCAAGGTCTTGAATATACGGACCAAGGCTGTTAGGCCGAGGTCCGTTTTCAAGACCGAGGGCACAGTTTTTTCCTATCCGGACCAACTATAGGATGGTAAATAACTTATTTATTTTTTTCCCGTTTTTTTTTACTTGTTTCTGTAATTGTTTTGTGTTGTCGTTTAGCGGCAAAGGATACCGGACCATGTGAGCAGGCAGATACTTACAAAATACCATCTGAGTCCTATTGTGCTACACCAGCCCTCGGGCAAATTCTCAAATAAAGAAATAAATAAATCCACTCAAACAGCCAATCAGAACGCACGATTTTTTAAGGATACCGGACTGGAAAAAAAAATTATTCTATTCTTACTTTTCTTGCTAAAATCAATTTCCACATAATGGAGGTGGTGATGATATGAGTGGTAATATTCTGAAGTTCACACCCAAGGTAAAGAGGTCTATTTTCTCCAACAAGGGTACCTAAAATTCTGCAAATGTTTTTCAACTTGCCCTGGTGTATGAAAAAAAAAAAAAGAATTGTCTGCAGGCATTACATACCTGCTTAACACTAAAGCTTGAGATGGCATAAATCATTTCTGGGTCCTCATATATGTCAGTAGGTCTACAAAGAAACAGAAAAATTAAATAAGAATAGACAGATCAAATGAATGGTTGGATGG